AGGAAGGAAGGAAGGAAGGAGGAAGGAAGGAAGGAAGGAAGGAGAGAGAGAAAGAAAGAAAGAAAGGGAAAGAGAGAGAGAAAGAGAGAGAAAGAAAGAAAGAAAAGAAGAAAGAAGAAGAAAGAAAGAGAGAGAAAGAAAGAAGAAAGAAAAAGAAAGAAAGAAAAGAAAGAAAAGAAAGAAAAGAAAAGAAAGAAAGAAAGAAAGAAAGAAAGAAAATTCCTCTACCTACAGTAAGGGACAGTTGACTACATTTGTGCTAATTATTCAGACGACCAAAACCAAGACTGAAATTCACACCTGGATTACAGGGAGGTACCTACAGCCACTCCTCTGCTGAGGTGAGATGCAGACAGATGCCCCTGTGCACTGCATTGTAAGTTTCACGCATCCCTCCCAGGTGAGCCCCAGCGTGGTATGTTTAGCCCCTGCCACAGGTTCTGCTCCCTGCCCTCCCCTGACTGAGACCCAGTAACATTCAGATGCCCTGATGGATGCCCCTGCACCTCTTGCTTGTATATTCCACCCTGGCCCCCGTGAGAGAGCCCGTGGGTCCTTTCTCCCTGTCTGCCTGGCTGAGACCGCTCCCCCAGTGCTGCCTCCCATGTGACGCTCCTCTTGGCGTGCAGTGACGCCATCTCTCTAGGACCTGCGAGTGGAATACACCATTTTCCTGAACCTCTCCTTTGTCTCTTCTTTTTTTATTTTTATTTTTTGTGTTTTTATTTTGAGATGGAGTCTCTGTTGCCCAGGCTGGGGTGCAATGGTGCAATCTCGGCTTACTGCAACCTCTGCCTCCCAGGTTCAAGCAGTTATCCTGCCTCAGCTTCTCAAGTAGCTGGGACTACAGGCACATGCCACCACACTCAGCTAACTTTTGTATATATATTTTTAGTAGAGTTGGGGTTTCACCGTATTGGTCAGGCTGGTCTTGAACTCCTGATCTCAGGTGATCCACCCACCTTGGCCTTGCAAAGTGCTGGGATTACAGGCATGAGTCACTGTGCCCAGCCTTCTTTGTCTCTTCTTGTGGCCGTGCCTGATGGACCAACTATCTCATAGCATATGTGTGTGTGTGTGTATACACACACACACACACACACACACACATCACAAACCACACACCAGGCCACCTGGGCTCTTTTTTCACAAATCGATGTCAACATGAGTAATGACACCCAGTAAATCCTGGCAGACAGCCACGTTTCTATTTACGCCGACTGAAAAACTCACATTTTCAGCGAGTGGGACAAGAGGGGCAAGTGCCTAAAAAGTGTTGGATCTTGGTGGCGGGAAAAGCCACAAGTCCCAGAATTATGCCCATTGGATTGGTCAACATTATGTGTGGGGAAAGTGACTTGAGGGGTCCTCAGTGAGGAAAAGCGGTTGTCCCTTGCCTTAGCCTAAGCCAGATGAACTGGTGTTTCTCCCCTGAGCCTACTCTTCCAGGTGCGAACAATTATAAGGGAGGGGGCAGTTCTACAGGTGAAGCCTGGGAGGGAAGAATGAGTGAGAGGATGGGGCCCGAGAGGTAAATCCTAAAGGCTGAGAGTAACTAAGGGGCTTTGGGTAGCCTGAGGGTACCGGAGGTTCAGGGCTCTTGGAGCTGGAACGGGAAATAGAAGCAGAGCCAGGTGAGTGCCCAAAACCACCTTGTCAACTTCGACTTTGGGGTCTCATCTTACACCCACTCTGAACCCTCTTTTCTGAATTACAAGGTGGAAGGAAAACTGTCTTTCTGTGACAGTGTCTTCCCTCTTTGGAAATCTTACACGCATGGTTATTTGATTCATGTTTCCTTTGATTATAACGCTCATTTGGTCAGTTCAACCTGTTTTAGTTTCTATCCAGAGTCAAACTCTGCTTAGAGTAAGAAGGAAACACCCTGAATGGCCCTTGTGAGGCTGGTGGAAGAATGACCTTCACCTGGAGACCCACCCAAGGAGCCTGGCTTCCCTCGGTCCCTGCCCCACTGCTCACCCAAGTTGGTATTCCCCACTCTCTGCCTTATTTCCCGCTCACTTTGCTGCTAAAACAGCCACAATAAATTAAGACTGGAGTCTACACAGCAAAGAGTCGGGGATCTCTATGGAAAAATGAGCAGAAGGGGTGTTTGGGGACATTTTTTATTGTGTATGGGATGCTCTCAGTAGGATGTATGATTATTTTGATTCTAATGCTGATATTCTCACATTACAACTGAAAGGTAATTTTGTAGTTTGAAGTGGCTGATACCACAGACTTCCATGATACCTGACAGGGCTAAGAGCCAAATTTCATCATTGCTCAAATGTGATCAGGCTTCTAAATAATAGTATGACCATTTGGAGTCTGAACAGGTATTTCTGACTCCAGACTTCTGTTTCTAAGACTCTAACGAGAAATTTGGGGAAAGTTTTGGTTTATGATAAACGAAGTGTCAGGCTGAGGGTGTGCCCTAGTCCCTTCATTCTTTACAAACCCACAATGGATTAATCATCCACGAATCTGTGTGTCTATCGTAAACAATTTATATTATTTTTTATTCTTTGATTTATCTTTTGAGATAAAACTCATTTTTTCCCCATGGACAGACAGTTTAGAGACTGGAAAGAACAAAAAAGACAGCTCTTTGAGAATGATTTAGTATAATTTATTAAGATAGGTGTTGCTTTGTGTATTCAAATATACCCAGGCAGTGGTAAAAGCAGCACATCAATGAAGGCAACCTTAGAGGCATTTCAGGAAGGTCTAACATTAACTGCCTTGACTCCATTTTGTTGAGGTCATGACTTGAATTGTAATCCACATAGAAGGCTGCATGGTTACTACTTCTGTTGGTGATGATTAAATGCAGGCAGAATCCCAAAAACTATAGAAATGTGAAATACTCACGGGCAGGTGACAGGTTCAGGCCATGCTTGTGTCCTATTAGTCAATGGCAGACAGATGGTGAAGGCTTACCTACAGCAGTGACCTGCAGCAGCTGCCAGAGGCCGGGGCCCGCCTAGCAGCAGCATTGCTTCTGGCAGCCGCACTTTTGCTGGCAGCATCCCTTCTGCTGGCCCTTCCCACAGCCACAGCCACACGAGCTGCAGGTGCGGCGGCAGCAGCAGATCACGGGCGTGCTGCAGCAGCCCCCACAGCAGCCGCGGCAGCAGGGGCAGCAGCTGGAGCAGCAGCCCACCCGGTAACACCTGCAGGTGGTGCAGCTGCCACAGCCACCACCACAGCCACCACAACCACAGCCACCACCGCAGCCACCGCAGCCACCACAGCCACCACCGCAGCCACCACAACCACAGCAACCCATGGTGTCAGTAGAGAGGATGCAGATGAAGTGAGAAGGGAGGACTCAGGAGAAGGTGAGGAGGTCTGATGCTTCCTTCTGCTGGGGGAGGCCCTTATATACCAACTCTGGGGAGAGGAGGGGGAAGACACATGACCACTTCCTTGTTGTCATTTGACTTGACGTACACGGAAGAATCTCTCCATCTCATATTGGCCATCCTTTTAGACATCTTTGTTTTCACTACATTTTTGGTTTTGTTTATTTTTTTCTCATAAAACCATAAGTTAAAAAGGCCTGAAAGTTCCAGGGAAGCATTCTGAGAGCTGGAGTGTGGTGATGTAATTCTTGGTCTGGTTCACGGTAACCATAGTAATGACAGCCTTCTCCTTCTTCCTAAGAGGTCTGGGGAATAAGCGCCATGGGCACAGGTCCATGAGTTGTTGGCAGGGCTTACAAACCCCACACAGCACCAGGCAGCCCCTGGACTGAACAATCTGAGCGCTTCTCAGTAATAGGTACAGTGATATGGAAGGCACAGTCCCTGACTTCAAAGGGCTTGCAATAGTGAGTAACACTGCAAGCTGGGAGGTGAAATGGCGACAGATTCAAAGGTCACTGCCAAAGTCAGAGGCCATCATCCCATTTATAAGCCAGTGAAGGCGCTGGGGCTGCCTTCTCTCCTTATTTGAGGCACATCATTGTGATTTGTCTTCTGTACACCAGGTCTTAGTGGTTATTTCAAAAGCAGAAATCAGTCATCTCAGGAGTCTGCATTCTGGTGATGTAATTCTTGGTCTGGTTGATGTAGCCTCCACCTACCAGTTTCAAGCTATCCTCCTGCCTCAGCCTCTCGAGTAGCAGGGATTACGGGCATGTGTCACCATGCCTGCCTAATTTTTGTATTTTTAGTAGAGACAGAGTTTCGCCACGTTGGCCAGGCTGGTCTCGAACTCCTAAGTTCAGGCAATCCTCCTGCCTCAGCCTCCCGAAGTGCTGGGATGACAGGAGTGAGCCACCTCGCCCAGACAGGAATTCATTTTTGTCTTTGATTAGGTGATGTCAGTTGATGGCTGAGACAAACAAATCTGCTTAGTAGCCTGGCCTGGGCTTCCTAGAGGCAGGCTCTAGGGCTATTTAGAGAGTGCAGGGTGGGAACATTGAGGGATGTATGGTCCAGAGGTCAGAGAAGCTCGCTGAGCCGAATGAAGGCCCAACATGGGAAGGAAAGGAGTTTATGGCTTTAAGAAGAAGCCTGTGGCTGTGGATCGTGGTGGGGTTTGAGAGTTTGTGACCAACAGGAGCCTGTAAAAAAGGCA